TGGTTCCATTGAAACATTAATAATGTACAGTATTTCTCACATGCTGGTATTTTGAGTTTATCTCTATAATTATATTGTTTATATTTTTTAAAGTATTGTTTGTGCATTGCCAGTCAGGGGTGCCAGTAATTTTGGAGCCCCACTGTATCACAGTCTGCTGTCCCCACATGCTTCAAGATGGCCCCCATTGTTCCTGTACCCAAGAAAGCAAAAGGTAACTGAACTAAATGACTATCACCCCGTAGCACTCACTTCTGTCATCATGAAGTGCTTTGAGAGACTAGTCAAGGATCATACCACCTCTACCTTACCTGTCATCCTAGACCCACTTCAATTTGCTTACCGCCCCAATAGATCCACAGACGATGCAATCACCATCACACTGCACACTGCCCCTATCCCATCTGGACAAGAGGAATACCTATGAAAGAATGCTGTTCATTGACTATAGCTCATTATTCAACACCATAGTGCCCTCCAAGCTCACCATCAAGCTTGAGGCCCTGGGTCTCAACCCAGCCCTGTGCAATTGGGTCCTGGACTTCCTGACGGGCCGCCCCCCAGTTGTTAAAGGTAGGAAACAACATCTATACTTCGCTGATCCTCAACACAGGGGACCCACAAGGGTGTGTGCTCAGCCCCGTCCTGTACTCCCTGTTCACCCATGACTGCGTGGCCATGCACGCCTCCAACTCAATCATCAAGTTTGCTGACGACACAACAGTAGTAGGCCTGATTACCAACAATGACGAGACCGCCTACAGGGAGGAGGTGAGGGCCCTGGCGGAGTGTGGTGCCAGGAAAATAACCTCTCACTCAACGTCAACAAAACAAAGGAGATGATCGTGGACAGCAGAGGGACTACCCCCCTATCCACATCGACGGGACCGCAGTGGAGAAGGTGGAAAGTTCCTTGGCGTACACATCACCGACAAACTGAAATGGTCCACCCACACAGACAGTGTGGTGAAGAAGGTGCAACAGCGTCTCTTCAAACTCAGAAGGCCAAAAAGATAATCAAGGACAACTACCACCCGAGCCACTGCCTGTTCACCCTGCTATCATCCAGAAGGCGAGGTCAGTACAGGTGCGTCAAAGCTGGGACAGAGAGACTGAAAAACAGCTTCTATCTCAAGGCCATCAGACTGTTAAATAGCCATCACTAGCACATTAGAGGCTGCTGCCTACATACAGACTTGAAAATCACTGGCCACTTTAATAAATGGAACACTAGTCACTTTAATAATGCCACTTTAATAATGTTTACATATCTTGCATTACCCATCTCATATGTATATACTGTATTCTATACTATCCATTGCATCTTAGCCTATGCTGCTCTGACAATGACATTGCTCATCCATCTATTTATATATTCTTATTCCATTCCTTTACTTAGATTTGTATATATTAGGTTTTTATTGTGGAACTGTTAGATATTACTTGCGGAACTAGAAGCACAAGCATTTCGCTACACTCGCAATAACATCTGCTAACCATGTGTATGTGACCAATACATTTGATTTGATTTGATTTGATTTATTACCAGGAAAAACACGCCCATCCCCCATAAGCCCGCCTCCACATAAAAAGAGTACCAAAACTAAGTGCAGAGAAAAGAGGACTTGAACGAAGGTGGGGGAAAATTGTCATCGCAAGGACAAGAACCGAGAACGAAAATAAGTTGTTTGACCAAAGAAAGGTTGAGATTTGATTGGAAAATAATTTCCAATACGTTTTAATTCGACATTTTTTTCATGCAATTCAGAATTTTTCATTTAGTTTTTTTTTATTTTCATGTTTCAACGTGCTTCACTTTTGCTTAAAATATTTGTTTTCCTTCAATTACATTATTATTTTCTTTTTGGGACAATTATTTTGAACTTAAATTGCCTCCATACGCCTTTTCCTGTCTCAGGAACATCATCTCTATTTCAACCCCCATACAGACTGACCGTAAAGAAACTTGTTTGCAAACAAGTGCAGGACATATTTTTTACCTTCCCATGAATGGAATAATGGACATGAAAATACAATCTATCGGAAGGAATATCTCTGTTACATTTCTAATTCTGAGTAAGTAACTTTTATACAGCTAAATAAAATACACTTAGAATACATAAGAAGGGGTTTTCGATGTGTACACTTTTCGATAACGACTTTGTATGTGAATGATCTGCATATTTTCATGTGATAAGATTTTTTTTTTTAGGTAGACCGGTAAGTTTAATAATATGCCATTTAGCAGACACTTTTATCAAAAGCGACTTAAAGTCATGCGTGCATACATTTTTTTTTTTTGTGTGTGTGTATGGGTGGTCCTGGGGTTCGAACCCACTACCTTGGCGTTACAAGCGCCGTGCTCTACCAGCTGAGCTACAGAGGACCAATATGTTCTTCAACATTCTGCATCCATAATAATAGGAACGCTCACTTTACACACGCTACCTAACATTTCCTTTAGTTTGTATGAACTTGCAAAGGTAACAACTATTCTGCCCTATTTTAAGTGTATCATTAGTGGGAGTGTTACACTGGGCTACTTACTGACTGATTCAGACTTACTGACTGATTCAGACTTACTAACTAATTCAGACTTACTGACTTATTCAGACTTACTAACTAAGTCAGACTTACTGACTGATTCAGACTTACTGACTGATTCAGACTTACTAATTAATTCAGACTTACTGACTGATTCAGACTTACTAACTAATTCAGATTTACTGACTGATTCAGACCTACTAACTAATTCAGACTTACTGACTTATTCAGACGTACTAACTAATTCGGAATTACTGACTGATTCAGACTGATTGATTCAGACTTACTGACTGATTCAGACTTACTGACTAATTCAGACTTACTAACTAATTCAGACTTACTGACTGATTCAGACTGATTGATTCAAACTAATTAAATTCCCTAAATGATTCAACGATTGATTAATTTCGACTGATTCAGCCCTTACTACAAATTTCGGGCCCTTACTAATTTAATTTTCCAAAAATTACTGACTGTTTCCCGCTTACTGCCCTGATTCAACTTACTGCCTGATTTCAACTTTTACTGCTGATCGCTCCCTCTCTCCCTTTTTTCTTTTTTTTCTCCCCTTTTTTTCTTCACCCTTCTCCCTCCCCCTTTCTTTTTTTCCCCTTTCTCCCCTTTTGGTTTTCCCCTTCCCCCCCGGGGGGCCCCCCGGGGGAAAGTTCCCCCCCCCCGGGGGCCCCCCCCCCCTTTTAAAGGCCTTTCCCCCCCCCACCTCCGTCCCACTGCTGTTTGTAGGATTGTTGTGTGTTTTATCCTTTCCTTAGTACTCATCCTGTGAAGAAGACCCATGATGGTTTTCCGAACATCCCATAAAACATTTCCTGGCCCCTCAAGGGGAAATTTTTGGACGACGGGTTTTTATGGAAAAAGGTTTTTTTATGACAGAGGGTATTTTTTGACAAAAAAACCATCGATAAATACCATATCACAAAATTTTCCCAACCCAAAAAAAAAATAAAAAAATAGCCCTATTTCCATGTTGAATGATTTTCCCTTTTGCCACCCTTGGGTTTTTTTATTCCCCCAAATGCTTCTGAAAGGGGCCTGTATGTCCTTAGGCCCCCAAAAAGGACAAGAACCCTATTTCCCAGCTCAAGCACCCTTTTAAAAAGTCTAAAGGGAAACCCTCTTTGTCACAGAAAACTGAATGATTTTGTTATTATGGGGAAAAGGGGCCTGACCCCTTAAATTTCGTCGGTTCAGCCCTGGTTCTGCCCTGCTCTTCACCCCATTGCACGGGGGGTCTGGTCCCCCAAAAGCCTTAAATGGGGGAACTAAAGGCCCCCCTTTTTGGGTAAAAACCCCCCAACCCCCCAAAAAAAGGGGGAAAAATTTTTAAAAAGGGGGAAAAAAAGGGGGGGGGGGAAAACCCTTGGGAAAAAAACCCCCCCCCCTTTTTTTTTTTAAAAAGGGGGCCCCCCCCCCCCTTTTTTTTTTTTGGGGTCCCCCTTCCCGGGGGGGGGGGTTTTTGGGGCCCCCTGGGGAAAAGGTTTTAAAAACCCCCCCTTTTTTTTCCCGGGGCCCCCCCCAGGGTTTTTTTTTTTAAAAAAACCCCCCGGGGCCCCCAAATTTTTTCCCAAAAAAACCCCCTTTTTTTTAAGGGGGGCCCCCCCCCCCCTTTCCCCCAAAAAAAAGGGGAAAAAAAAAAATTTTTTTAATGGGGGAAAAAAAGGGGGGGTTTTAACCCTTTTTTTTTTTAAAAAAAAATTTTTTTTTTTAATTTTTAAAAAAAAAAATGGTTTTGGGGTTTTCCAAAAAAAAAAAATTTTTTTTTTTAAAATTTTTTAAAAAAAATTAAAAATTTTTTTTTTTTTCCCCCCAAAAAAAAAAAGGGGGTTTTTTTTTAAACCTAAAAAAAAAGGGGGGGGGAAAAGGGGGGGGGTTTTTTTTTTAAAAGGGGGGGCCCCCCCAAAAGGGGGGGGGGTTTTTCAAAAAAGGGGGGGGGGTTTTTCCCCCCCCCCAAAAAAAAAAAAAGGGGGGCCCCCGGGGGGAAAAAAAAAAAAAACCCCCCCCCCCCCCCAAAAAAAAAAACCCCCCCTTTTTCCCCCTTTTTAAAAAATTTTTCCCCCCCTTTTTTTTTTTTTTTTAAAAACCCCCCGGGGGGAAAAAGAAAAAAAATTTTTCCCCCCCCCCCTTTCCCCCCTCCCCCCAAATAAATTTTTAAAAAAAAAAAAAACCCCCCCCCCCCCCCAAAAAAAACCCAAACGGGCCCCCCCGGGGCCGGGGGGCCCCCCCCCCCCCCCCAAAAAAAAAAAAGGGGGCCCCCGGGGGGTTTTTCCCCCCCTTTTTCCTTTTTTTCCCTGTCCCACCTTCCCTTTCTTGTCCTTTATTGGAGGAGAAGATCCAAGGTCCCTCTACTCTGATCTTCTCCTCCAGTGAGAAGGAGGCAAGAAGAGAGGAATGGATCATTATCGATGTGTCCTCATTAAACATGTGGTTTTCTCTTTCAGACTCCATCAATATTCCAGATGTGAGAAATATCAACATCAACATGAGTCTAGGTTTGACTCTCACTCGTATGCCCACAATGAGTGGATTTATGGTAAGAAAGGAATAGTTTGGTCCCATTACAGAACAAAATATGAACTGTCATTCTCATCTTATCTAAAATAACTCTTAAAGTAAGATCAGAAAGGATTTGAGCATTGGGATGTTTCTGTAATGCATATCTTGATAACAGAAAAGAGACTTGAACATCACTCTAAGGTTCTATTCTATAGACATGCGGTCCGCTGTGGGCTCAGAGGTGTGGTAGTCAGGTCTTCTACCCAGGTGTCTGTGCAGGGGTCAGCCCCCTCTTCAAACCTCAGCCTGCCTTCTCCCCTGCTGTACAAAGTAAGATATATCTCCCTCCCTCTCTCTCTCTCTCTCCTCCCTCTTCAAACCTCAGCCTGCCTTCTCTCCTGCTGTAACAAAGTAAGATATATCTCCCTCCCTCTCTCTCTCTCTCTCCCTCCTCCCTCTTCAAACCTCAGCCTGCCTTCTCTCCTGCTGTACAAAGTAAGATATATCTCCCTCCCTCTCTCTCTCTCTCTCCCTCCTCCCTCTTCAAACCTC